AGGGCGGCGGGCGAGCCTGGGGCGACCACTGCAGCCGACTGACAAGCGAAAACAAACAAAACCAAGCAAAACCAGCCAGGGAACGGGGCCAGCCGAGGGGCAGAGCGACCGCGGGGCGGCAAGCCAGCCGGGGGCGACCAGCGCAGCCGACGGACCAGCGAAATCAAGCAACAACAAACAAGTCAAGGAACTGGGCCGGCGGCGGGGCCAGGGCGACCCACGGGCGGCGGGCGGTCCGGGGGCGACCAGTGCAGCCGACGGACAAGCGAAGACGAACCAAAGCAAACAAAGCCAAGGAATGGGGCCAGCCGAGGGGCCGAGCGACCGAAGGGCGTGCGAAGACCGTGGAGGATCGAGAACATGTGTATGCGTGTGTGCGTTTGCGTGTGCGTGTGCGTGTGAAGACCGCGGAAGACCGAGGAAGACCGGCGTATGCGTGTGTGTGTGTGTGTGTGTGTGTGTGTGCGTGTGAAGACCGAGGAAGGCCCAGGAAATCTTTGAACCCCCTTGGCCCTCGGAGTCCTTCGGGGGCCCCAGGACCCCCTAGTAAGAACGGCCCCCGAGAGGCAAACAACGCCCCATTCCCGTGGGGAATCGAATATTTCAGCACACAAGCTTCGAGAACAAACAAAAGCAAACAGAACCAAGGAATTGGGCCAGCCGAGGGGCCGAGCGACCGAAGGGCGGCGGGCGAGCCTGGGGCGACCAGTGCAGCCAACGGACAAGCGAAGACAAACATAAACAAACACAACCAAGGAATGGGACCAGCCGGGGGGCCGAGCGACCGCGGGGCGGCGGGCGAGCCTGGGGCGACCTGTGCAGCCGACGGATAAGCGAAAACAAACAAGAGCAAACAAAACCATGGGATTGCGCCAGCCGAGGGGCCGAGCGACCGCGGGGCGGCGGGCGAGCCTGGGGGCGACCAGTGCAGCCGACGGACAAGCGAAAACAAACAAAAACAAACAAAACCAAGGAATGGGGCCAGCCGAGGGGCCGAGCGACCGCGGGGCGGTGGGCGAGCCTGGGGGCGACCAGTGCAGCCGACGGACAAGCGAAAACAAACAAGAACAAACAAACCCAAGGAATGGGGCCAGCCGAGGGGCCGAGCGACCGCGGGGCGGCGGGCGAGCCTGGGGCGACCAGTGCAGCCGACGGACAAGCGAACACAAACAAGAACAAACAAGACAAAGGAAGGGCCAGCCGAGGGGCCGAGCGACCGAAAGGCGGCGGGCGAGCTTGGGGCGACCAGTGCAGCCGACGGACAAGGGAAAACAAACACAAACAAACAAAACCAAGGAATGGGGCCAGCCGAGGGGCCGAGCGACCGCGGGGCGGCGGGCGAGCCTGGGGCGACCAGCGCAGCCGACGGACAAGGGAAAACAGACAAAAACAGACAATACCAGCCGAGGGGCCGAGCGACCCAGGGCTATTGCGCGCCGCTGAGACAGGGCCCGGCAATTTGCAATATAATTACAGTAAGTGTTGTTGTTGTTGTTCTTGTTGGTGTTGTTGTTGTTGTTGTTGCTGTTGTTGTTGTTGTTGTTGAACATTATTTATTCTAAAGAATAATTATTGTTGGGCCCCCTGGTGCGCGCCCCCCCTGCGCCGCCTAGGCCGCAGCTACATTTTCATCATTTTCGTGAGGAAGCCTCAGGTAAAACGATGTGATCCAGATCCGGTTGTTTTGTTGTAATCCGTTTTCCCTTGCAAAAAACACTATAAAATGACATTTCTTGTTCTAATATAATCAAATTTCAAGAATCCCTTGCAAAAAATAAGGTAAAGTGGACATTCGCGCGCGCAAGACGAAATCCTTCCAAAAGCTTAGTGTTCGGAGCGATTTTAACATAAAAACATCAAAAAACCAATGGTTTTTCAACAAAAAAATGTCAAAATCTCATCCCGCGCGCTCTTGCGGATTCGTAGGAAACCCAACACTTTTTAAACATTTCTGTCAAACGGGCTTTTGCGAGCAACTTTTTCGAACTTCTGCGACAACGGTTGCGCACCTGCCAGGGCCATCATCCCTGTCAAATAATACCATGCGGGACACATTCGTTTTTTCTTCGCGCGCGCACGCCGTCGTCGTCGGCCGCGGGGCCCTGAATAGTAGCCACGGT